CACGCCCCCTCCCCCCCGCGCCGCCTCCCCTGGGCGTCCCGCCGTAGGGAGTCCACAAGGAAGCGTGACCCTCCCGCCGTCCCCTCCGCTTCCTCATCCTCCCGCTTCCGGGGTGCTGCCGTTTCTGCTTGTGACAAATCTGAAGTCTTCTAAGGCCATATATAGCCCGGCCCGAGTTTGTGTCCTCCATCTTCACTAACACTTCACTGCTGTCTTTCTACCTCTCTCTCTGGCTAGCTAACATGGATAGCTCTCAAGGTAATATGGTGACCAGTAGATGTAGATTTGTGTGCGTGTATGCATGTGCGTAAGTGGGAGAAGCCCTCCGTAAACGAGGCGATGGAACTGCACAACTGTGAATAAACCATTCACCCCGACAGAAACGTTAGGCTCCGAACCCTTTCCGTCTGCAACCCTTTGCAACAGAAAAGACATTAAGTCCCAAACACTACAACATGCAACCCATTGAGTCGGCAAACCACTTAAGCTTGGAATGCGCCCATCTGTAACCAGTTTGGGAAGCAAACTGGTTCAGCCCGTCGCAACCCATGTAATCAGAAAAATATTACGTTACTAATGCGCCACATGTTTAAGCAGGAAAAAGGTTATCTCGCTAACATGTTTTTTCCTTGGCCCCGCCTCCCTAGTACGCTCTCTACAAGAAGATGACCCAGGCGGCCATCTTGATCCAGTCCAAGTTTCGCTCGTACTACGAGCAGAAGCGCTTCCAGCAGAGTCGGCGCGCGGCTGTGCTCATCCAGCAGTACTACCGCAGCTACAAGGAATATGAGAGGCTCAAACAGGGCCCAGGCGGCGGCACAAACCACAACCCCAAAATCAAGTAAACGAGCGGTCAGCGGCTGTCATGTGTGCAGGTCAAACGGCTTATCCGGTGTTGATGGTGAGCTTGCTTTGTCCACCAGGGGGACCTTCCTGACCAAGAAACAGGACCAGGCTGCACGCAAGATCATGAGGTTCCTGAGACGCTGCAGGCACCGGTAACGCAACACTCATACACACAAGCACCCAATGATGAGCCTGTTATTTGACACTCGCGTTGGCGCAGGATCAAGGAGCTGAAGCAAAATCGGGAGCTGGAAAGACGAGGCCTGACCACGTAAATTCACCCATCGGTGCCCTGATGAATGTAGTTCCCGGCAGGGAGCGCACGGAGGCAAATGTCCATCTCTATTCTTATTGACTTGTTGGTACACATGTACCCATACATATAATACACGGGACTTTTGAAATGCTTTTATTTATGACTGCTTTTGAGTCTTAATGAACTGAACTGTGATTGTGAGGCCGCAGTCTAACTTGTTTTGCATGATGCCATTGACAAAGGAGGCGTGTAGAGAAAATATCGCCTTTAATTCAGACACGCTTTGAACCTCAACAAAACAAAGCATCGTGAGACGTGTAGTTCACATGCTTTGTGTGTATGTGTATAAAAACAAAAGCAATTATCAATATCTGATCCACAATGAAAACAAACTAAACAATGACTAAACGAGAACAGTGTGTATTGTCAACATGGGCCGGGGAACAGCTCATCACATGCCTTGTCTGATACTTTGGATGATCTGGAAGATGGCTGCAACAAACAAAACACAAACACACATTGTAGTGCAGGACTAAGTGTTGGTGTCTTTAAGAACTCACCTGATCCACAAACCACGAACACGAAAAGCGCCAGAAGCCACGGACCCACCGGAGACTTCTCCTCGTTGACTGGCCTCTGCAAGGCATAAGTCCCGCAGTCATTTCGGAGCGGAAGCAACTCATTGCCGTTAAGGACGTTTTCAACACAAAGATAAAAGACAGGTTAGCCCGGTTAGCTCAGCTGTAGGGTACCAACCGAGGTTTTCTGGACGTGTCCCCGCTGCGTGATGGTCTTGCTGTGCCGCTCGTTCGCCACCTTCATTCGCTGCACCGCCGACATGTTTGCGCGGGTGAGACCGGGACGGGAGGGCGACGACGCGGATTACTGCCGAAAAAAGAGCCGTTGCCCCTCGCGTCCGATTCTAACTGTTAGCAGTAGTCAGACGGAGGCCAGCTCGTCACGTGACGTGCTGACGTTTCTTCGCGGCACTAACGCGTCTGGTGGGGGTTACGGCGCCACCTACTGGACAGTAACACAATAAGTTTTACTCACCGAACCGATTTATCATCTCACACGAAAATTAGTCACTGTTAAATTTCCTTGTGTGTGTCCGCCCGGATCCTTTAGATTGGTCAAATGCAGTCAAACATCACTAATCATGTCTCAGTCATGTAACAGCACTTAATAAACTAATAAAAATAGAGGTAGCGAGCAGAATGTAGCGCAAGGTAAAGTATACACTTAAAAATACTCAAAAGTAGTGTGTTCCATTACAGTTACTCTTAACACTGGCTCAACAAATTGTTACTATTTTTCTTTAAATGCAAGTAAACTTTTCTACATTGTTTTTTTTTTTTGGTGTTGCTCGTGAATATACCCTCATTTTTGCGAACGAGCATCATTTTTTCATGATACGACAGTAATAATAATAATATAGTATGTAATATAGATGAATTATTGGTTAAGTTCGGCAACGGGTGGAATGTTTTTATTACAGCGCATGGTGTGTGGTGTGAGCTTTTAAAGTTCAAAAACAAATAATGAAAATACCTATAAAAAAAAAACTGAAAACTGAACAAAAATATTTGATTAAAATTTACTGTTGACCAGTGTAATTCATCCCTCCAAAACACTTATGTAAATGTAACTGAGTAAATATATGGTATGACCCATCTCTGGGTAAGTTAATGCTCATGATTAAAATATGTCAGGCTTCTGTTCACACAATATTTGAGCACAGTGGCCCATCTATGGGTTACACCATATTTCCAGAGGGGTATATAATAGAAGCTGACTTCCAAAACTGGTATTCCAAGTTTTAATTTACTTTGAGGACAAGCATTGAAGAAAATGAGTGGATTGCTTCAGCAAATTGGACTCATGGGTTAAACTATGTGACAAGGTTGGAGATAGTGGAGGTTGTTTTTCAACACTGGTATGCACTGGTTTCTTGGAGGTGGAAATTTACCCTAATGAGGACATATTTGAAAAAAAAAAATGGATAAATGGCATCATCAAAATTGACCCAGGTCTCAAGGCCAGGGAAAGAAAAGGAGCTCTTGAAAATGGATAGATGGCTGGATAAATTGAATGAACAAACAACAAATTAACTTTCTCTTTAATTCGGGTTCGCACACATACATTCAGTGATGGAATGTTGTCATGGTACAACTTGTCAACACGCAAATGCACATGTTTAACACATGCTTGTCTTGTTACACACGCGCACACACACACACAGTCGTCTAGCAGCCTTTGCCAGGGGTCAGAGGTAGCATGTCAGAGTTTAGCATCCAAGTCCGCTGACGGCGCCGATGCGATCCATCTTCAAGCCGAAGCATCCTCGTCCTCCAAGCGACGTCCACTTCCCGCCGCGCCGCCTCACCTTGGCGTACCGCCGTAGGGCGTCCACAAGGAAGCGTGACCCTCCCGCCGTCCCCTCCGCTTCCTCATCCTCCCGCTTCCGGGGTGCTGCCGGACCTACTGCTGACCCCTCGGACGGGGATGGTGGCGCCATGAGGAGGGAGGAGAGCCGTGATCCAAACAGGGCAGTCATGGCCTGAAGACACAAGTGAGTACCAGATTTAGTCAATTTGCTTACTTGGAATGAATTATAGCATTGATTGTTTTTGTTTTTTATGACAGCGTGATTTTTATTGAATATCAGGCAAAAGGCAAAAAATGTGTTTAAAAAAAAAAGCTGGAAGGTTCAGCAGATGTTTTCACTTGGTTTGAGGTCTGGATACTGACTAGGACACTGCGTGTCTTAACGAGCTACTCCTTTGTTGCTTTGACAGGGTCACCGTCATGCTGTAAAACCCATCCGTGACCCATCTTCAAGGAGGTTTGGACAGCGCAAGCCTCCGAGTCCGCCTCCAAGCTGGATTGTGAGGATGGAGTTCTTCGGCATGCATTTTCTCATCCTCCAAACACCGCAGGCGTGGTTGATGCCAAATGCATCACTTGGGTTTCATCTGACCACAGCAACAGTCTTCAAGTCATTTAGATGTTTGTTGGCAAACTTAAGTGGGCCCAAGGTGGCGCCTTAAGTCTATTAAGGCGCCACAGTACTTGCAGTTTTCTTAGTTAAGGAGGTCCCACTTGCCTTCAGATGCTATTTCAGCGTGCTTGCTTCTCGTCTCTCCGCGAGGCAAAATTTTGTTTATCATATATTCTTTCTTATGCTCCCCCGCTCCCGGGAATCATAAAATATTTTCCCCCACCCCAACTCTCCACTCCCAGCAACAATAAATGATAGAATTTGACCATTGTATTGTGATAAGTACACCTCAGCAGAGACACTAATGCACCTTGCGCAATCTGACAGACAATGAGAGCGACGATGTGCAATTATATTTTATTCTGATACGAATAAAACATGTTCCCTGGGGTCACATGCGCGCCCCGCATGAAGATGATGATGTCATGACTTGAAGATTAACAATATCTATCGGTAGGAGATGGAAAAGCAAATGGACCTAGACCGACCTTGGCATCGTGGCTCCGAGGCGCCGGCCGGGACTCGGCGGCGAGGGTCAGGATGAAGATGAGGACCAGGAACGAGAGGAAGGAGGCGCCCGAGGTGTCCATTTTCAGGTTAGTCACGCTGTGCTGTGATTGGCTGGAGCCTGCCACTCGTCGTTTCAATGCCGTGTCCCAAAATCCCGACAGTGCTTGTGTCGGTCGTCGATAGGTAATTGATTGAAAGTCCTGTCGGAGCGAAATAAGTTCGTCCCCTCCCAGTCGGGACGCATCTGAAGACCAAGGTCCCGGGTTGGCCTTTTATTGTGATTCGATGGCGTGATGTCACGCATGCTTGGCGCCGGAGTCGCCGTGGTGACTGAGTCTCTCTCTCACGCACACTCGCAAACTGAAGGTCTGGAAGTGGTGATTGGGATTGTTGAGGTAGGATTGATGCTTTGATGGGAAGTCACCTGGACATAATTGCACAGACGGTAGATCCATCCATCTTCTCCTCCAAGGGGCGGAGCCCCGCCCTGGACTGCTTGCCAGCCAATCGCAGGGTGCATATAGACAAACACACATTGGCGTTCAAGCCTATGGACATGCATATCCATTTCAAAACTAATCATTTTAGGTTGATTGAAGGATCCGGAAAAATGAACACCCTCCAGGGGCTGCGGCCGCCCTCCTCGGCGGCGTGGGCCGAGTTTCTGAACGCGTCTGCCAATGGCCGGATGGAGCGCGACTTCGCCTTGCTAACGCTGACCGATGGCGAGCAGAAGGAGCTCTACGAGGCCGCCAGGATCATCCAGAACGCCTTCCGGAGATACAAGGTGAGCTTTTTACATTTGCTTGTACTGCCCCCTACTGGGCCTCTGGCTCACTGCTTCGGTGTGCTTGTTGGCATCCGCGCAGGGTCGCCGGTTGAAGGAGCAGCAGGACATGGCCGCAGCAGTCATTCAGAGATGCTACCGCAAATATAAACAGGTATGTGGATGCTATTTTTTTTTTATGATGTTTCCATCTTTTTATCCTCAGCGAAATGCAGTTTCTGCTTGTGACAAATCTGAAGTCTTCTAAGGCCATATATAGCCCGGCCCGAGTTTGTGTCCTCCATCTTCACTAACACTTCACTGCTGTCTTTCTACCTCTCTCTCTGGCTAGCTAACATGGATAGCTCTCAAGGTAATATGGTGACCAGTAGATGTAGATTTGTGTGCGTGTATGCATGTGCGTAAGTGGGAGAAGCCCTCCGTAAACGAGGCGATGGAACTGCACAACTGTGAATAAACCATTCACCCCGACAGAAACGTTAGGCTCCGAACCCTTTCCGTCTGCAACCCTTTGCAACAGAAAAGACATTAAGTCCCAAACACTACAACATGCAACCCATTGAGTCGGCAAACCACTTAAGCTTGGAATGCGCCCATCTGTAACCAGTTTGGGAAGCAAACTGGTTCAGCCCGTCGCAACCCATGTAATCAGAAAAATATTACGTTACTAATGCGCCACATGTTTAAGCAGGAAAAAGGTTATCTCGCTAACATGTTTTTTCCTTGGCCCCGCCTCCCTAGTACGCTCTCTACAAGAAGATGACCCAGGCGGCCATCTTGATCCAGTCCAAGTTTCGCTCGTACTACGAGCAGAAGCGCTTCCAGCAGAGTCGGCGCGCGGCTGTGCTCATCCAGCAGTACTACCGCAGCTACAAGGAATATGAGAGGCTCAAACAGGGCCCAGGCGGCGGCACAAACCACAACCCCAAAATCAAGTAAACGAGCGGTCAGCGGCTGTCATGTGTGCAGGTCAAACGGCTTATCCGGTGTTGATGGTGAGCTTGCTTTGTCCACCAGGGGGACCTTCCTGACCAAGAAACAGGACCAGGCTGCACGCAAGATCATGAGGTTCCTGAGACGCTGCAGGCACCGGTAACGCAACACTCATACACACAAGCACCCAATGATGAGCCTGTTATTTGACACTCGCGTTGGCGCAGGATCAAGGAGCTGAAGCAAAATCGGGAGCTGGAAAGACGAGGCCTGACCACGTAAATTCACCCATCGGTGCCCTGATGAATGTAGTTCCCGGCAGGGAGCGCACGGAGGCAAATGTCCATCTCTATTCTTATTGACTTGTTGGTACACATGTACCCATACATATAATACACGGGACTTTTGAAATGCTTTTATTTATGACTGCTTTTGAGTCTTAATGAACTGAACTGTGATTGTGAGGCCGCAGTCTAACTTGTTTTGCATGATGCCATTGACAAAGGAGGCGTGTAGAGAAAATATCGCCTTTAATTCAGACACGCTTTGAACCTCAACAAAACAAAGCATCGTGAGACGTGTAGTTCACATGCTTTGTGTGTATGTGTATAAAAACAAAAGCAATTATCAATATCTGATCCACAATGAAAACAAACTAAACAATGACTAAACGAGAACAGTGTGTATTGTCAACATGGGCCGGGGAACAGCTCATCACATGCCTTGTCTGATACTTTGGATGATCTGGAAGATGGCTGCAACAAACAAAACACAAACACACATTGTAGTGCAGGACTAAGTGTTGGTGTCTTTAAGAACTCACCTGATCCACAAACCACGAACACGAAAAGCGCCAGAAGCCACGGACCCACCGGAGACTTCTCCTCGTTGACTGGCCTCTGCAAGGCATAAGTCCCGCAGTCATTTCGGAGCGGAAGCAACTCATTGCCGTTAAGGACGTTTTCAACACAAAGATAAAAGACAGGTTAGCCCGGTTAGCTCAGCTGTAGGGTACCAACCGAGGTTTTCTGGACGTGTCCCCGCTGCGTGATGGTCTTGCTGTGCCGCTCGTTCGCCACCTTCATTCGCTGCACCGCCGACATGTTTGCGCGGGTGAGACCGGGACGGGAAGGCGACGACGCGGATTACTGCCGAAAAAAGAGCCGTTGCCCCTCGCGTCCGATTCTAACTGTTAGCAGTAGTCAGACGGAGGCCAGCTCGTCACGTGACGTGCTGACGTTTCTTCGCGGCACTAACGCGTCTGGTGGGGGTTACGGCGCCACCTACTGGACAGTAACACAATAAGTTTTACTCACCGAACCGATTTATCATCTCACACGAAAATTAGTCACTGTTAAATTTCCTTGTGTGTGTCCGCCCGGATCCTTTAGATTGGTCAAATGCAGTCAAACATCACTAATCATGTCTCAGTCATGTAACAGCACTTAATAAACTAATAAAAATAGAGGTAGCGAGCAGAATGTAGCGCAAGGTAAAGTATACACTTAAAAATACTCAAAAGTAGTGTGTTCCATTACAGTTACTCTTAACACTGGCTCAACAAATTGTTACTATTTTTCTTTAAATGCAAGTAAACTTTTCTACATTGTTTTTTTTTTTTGGTGTTGCTCGTGAATATACCCTCATTTTTGCGAACGAGCATCATTTTTTCATGATACGACAGTAATAATAATAATATAGTATGTAATATAGATGAATTATTGGTTAAGTTCGGCAACGGGTGGAATGTTTTTATTACAGCGCATGGTGTGTGGTGTGAGCTTTTAAAGTTCAAAAACAAATAATGAAAATACCTATAAAAAAAAAACTGAAAACTGAACAAAAATATTTGATTAAAATTTACTGTTGACCAGTGTAATTCATCCCTCCAAAACACTTATGTAAATGTAACTGAGTAAATATATGGTACTACCCATCTCTGGGTAAGTTTTAGTCAATTTGCTTACTTGGAATGAATTATAGCAATGATTGTTTTTGTTTTTTATGACAGCGTGATGCATAACACTTATGTAAATGTAACTGAGTAAATATATGGTACTACCCATCTCTGGGTAAGTTAATGCTCATGATTAAAATATGTCAGGCTTCTGTTCACACAATATTTGAGCACAGTGGCCCATCTATGGGTTACACCATATTTCCAGAGGGGTATATAATAGAAGCTGACTTCCAAAACTGGTATTCCAAGTTTTAATATACTTTGAGGACAAGCATTGAAGAAAATGAGTGGATTGCTTCAGCAAATTGGACTCATGGGTTAAACTATGTGACAAGGTTGGAGATAGTGGAGGTTGTTTTTCAACACTGGTATGCACTGGTTTCTTGGAGGTGGAAATTTACCCTAATGAGGACATATTTGAAAAAAAAAAATGGATAAATGGCATCATCAAAATTGACCCAGGTCTCAAGGCCAGGGAAAGAAAAGGAGCTCTTGAAAATGGATAGATGGCTGGATAAATTGAATGAACAAACAACAAATTAACTTTCTCTTTAATTCGGGTTCGCACACATACATTCAGTGATGGAATGTTGTCATGGTACAACTTGTCAACACGCAAATGCACATGTTTAACACATGCTTGTCTTGTTACACACGCGCACACACACACACAGTCGTCTAGCAGCCTTTGCCAGGGGTCAGAGGTAGCATGTCAGAGTTTAGCATCCAAGTCCGCTGACGGCGCCGATGCGATCCATCTTCAAGCCGAAGCATCCTCGTCCTCCAAGCGACGTCCACTTCCCGCCGCGCCGCCTCACCTCGGCG